ATACTGTTTGGGTAATTAAAACACCTAGTAGTTTTTTCATTGTAACTCATTGTAACTCGCACAGATGGCAGTTTTCACATTTGAGTGCATCAATTGGTTTAATACACCTGGATCAGTTATTTGATTCATGGTCAAGTTCAACTGGGTGAGATGGCAGTTTTCACTTTTCAGTGCATCACTCAGGTGTAATACACCTTGATCAGTTATTTTATTATTCTCCAAGTCCAACTGGGTAAGATGACAGTTTTCACTTTTGAGTGCATCACTCAGGTGTAATACACCTTGATCAGTTATTTGATTCGTGGACAAGTTCAACTGGGTGAGATGACAGTTTTCACTTTTGAGTGCATCACTCAGGTGTAATACATCTTGATCAGTTATTTGATTCGTGGTCAAGTACAACTGGGTGAGATGACAGTTTTCACTTTTGAGTACATCACTCAGGTGTAATACGCCTTGGTCAGTTATTTGATTCGTGGACAAGTTCAACTGGGTGAGATGACAGTTTTCACTTTTGAGTGCATCACTCAGGTGTAATACGCCTTGATCAGTTATTTGATTCGTGGACAAGTTCAACTGGGTGAGATGACAGTTTTCACTTTTGAGTGCATCACACAGGTGTAGTACACCTTGATCAGCTATTTGATTCCCGGTCAAGTTCAACTGGGTGAGATGGCAGTTTTTGTTTCTGAGTGCATCACTCAGGTGTAATGCACTTTGATCAGTTATTTTATTACCGGGCAAGGCCAACTGGGTGAGATGGCAGTTTTTACTTTTGAGTGCATCACTCAGGTGTAATACACCTTGATCCGCTATTTCATTAATGGACAAGTTCAACTGGGTGAGATGACAGTTTTCACTTTTGAGTGCATTACTCAGGTGTAATGCACCTTGATCCGCTATTTCATTAATGGACAAGTCCAACTGGGTGAGATGGCAGTTTTTACTTTTGAGTGCATCACTCAGGTGTAATACGCCTTGATCACTTATTCCATTCCTGAACAAGTTCAACTGGGTGAGATGACAGTTTTCACTTTTCAGTGCATCACTCAGGTGTAATACACCTTGACCAGTTATTCCATTTGAGGACAAGTTCAACTGGGTGAGATGGCAGTTTTCACTTTTGAGTGCATCACTCAGGTGTAATACACCTTGATCAGTTATTTGATTCCCACT